ATGTACTTCTTTGTGGACGACAAACATTGTGTCGTATATATCGTCAACAGTTCCCGAGTCGACAGTAATAGTGATACCAGTGGTGAGTGTCACTGGAAATCCAATTACGAGTTCTTGAGATGCGATTTATATAAGATTACCAACGGATCCATTGATTCCAATGGCACGCAAAAAGAGACCGCAGAGTACTTCAGAGGAATGGATGTCTTGTCCACACAATCAACAGTTTTTGTCGAGAATTCAGTTGATATGAGAGACATAACCCAATTGACGACTAAATCTACAATCCGTTCACATTCTGGGTTTCATTCAAACTATTTATCTATTATTCTGTAATCCATTCAAATGTTTTGATTATTATTTTGAGTTAAAATAAATTCTTATACTTTTTTACACCTAAAAGTTGTCCTTAATTTCATCAATTAAACTATTTTTATATACAGTATAGTACAGTACAGTATAAAACATTCAGATTTTTCAGTAATAAAAACTTTAATCAATCAATGAATTAATACACTTTTAATGTTAATCATAAAAATATTTATAAATACAAAACTAAATCCAATTAATTAGGACAGGAATGGGAGTCAAGTAGAGTTCAATTACTAGCAGTGCTATTCTGTTAATCCATTCAATTGCATTGACAAATAAGAATAAATTTGTTTAAAACTAATTATCAAGGTAGTTTACAAAAATTATACAAAATTCTAAGTTTTATATTTATTCTTTGGGTGCCATAAGTGGGCGTTATTTATGTGACTAATGACAGCAAAAAGTTTGTATTTTTGTAAACAAAATAAATATTGAATTAAATGTTGAAATGTTTTATTAATTTGAATGCAATGTAAAACACAATTCAATTCAATCACTAAACGTATGGTTTTTCGCCACCAATACAGACATCGACACCACTAACCATGTCTTCGGATGAGAAGCCGCTGATCACAAGTAAGTCATTTGTGACACCAATTGCCGATGTGTTGTCTTCACCCGAATTATCGTCACTTTTGCCACAGTTTCCGGTAATCAGACACTTGTTTCGGATCAGTTGTCGCAACAGATAACATTGATCACAAGTAAGTCATTTGTGACACCAATTGCCGATGTGTTGTCTTCACCCGAATTATCGTCACTTTTGCCACAGTTTCCGGTAATCAGACACTTGTTTCGGATCAGTTGTCGCAACAGATAACACGTGATTTACCACAAGAGGGGGTCGAATGGCAACGGTATGTAATGGTTAGCCCGTTGATAGTGACCACAATCACCGGATATCATTCATGTCTCACCATTTGATCCATGACTTGACTGTCGAACAGGTCGTACGGGAGGTCCTCGAAGATCGTGTATTTGGAGGCACGACTGGTGCCGATGGCGGACACATACCTGACCGCTGAGACCAACGACTTGCAGCTGTTGTCGCGACCACTGCTCTACACCTATTGGACAGACTGTCCCGATGTGGACACCTATAAGTCGACAGTCAGGGAGGACATCAACCACTGGCTCCAGAAGTTGACCACAAAGGGTATCACCGATTGGTTTATAGTACACGTGGACGCGAGCGCCGACCGCAAGGGTATCAACAAAAGCAAACTTTTGCCAACCATTAAGACATCGGTTTTGGACAAAATCCGTAACGACTTCCCGGCCGTGAAGTCGACGGCCGAGCGAGCGGTCACTCTATTGGACGCCTCGCATAAGAATGAGTCGAAAATGGCGGACAGTTATCAGCAATTCCTCTGCCGATTGCGGGCTCTGCTCCTGAGCTCATACTCGCGGCAACTGATCCGATACGAGGACTACATCCGCACCGTTCGCGAGAGCCGTAATCAACAGAATTGGGATTTCTTTCACTTCTTCGCACTTCAGGAACAGTTGGCCTTCGCTTTCGAGATGTTGAGCCTTTACGACGAGGCGCTCGTCCAGTACGACGAGTTGGACGCACTCTTCAGCCAATTCGTCATCAACTCGACCGCCGGACAGACACCCGAATGGCTGACCAGACTGTCGGACAACTATGACTTATGGCACGGACTCTGCCTGTCGTCCAATGTGTCCAAGAGTTTGCGCAAACAGTTCTTCGCTGGCGATGGTGTGGCCACTAATACAACGCTCATTGAGTTACGGAATTATCTGTTCGCCAGACAGTCGGAGCTGTTGCTATTGTTGAACAAGCCATGGGAGTTGGCCTCCCGGGCCCTACCGTTCCTACAGAACTGTGTCAATGAGTTGAATATATTAGAGGTATGTATGAATGGATTTGTTTTGACATTTTATATCTTCATGCGTTATAATATGGTGTAGATAACGATGACACCGGGAGGTATGGCCTGTTGGGTGTTTTTAAGCGCTTTAGAAATACTGCACAAATGCGAGCGTTATAGCGATTCCTCGCAAATGGAGTCCTATTCCAGACATACAGTTGGCCTCTGGTCTTACGCTAGGAATAAGGTATGTATCAAATACTTTAACTATAATCTAAAGATTGGTCTTTAGTTGTATTATAATCGCACAACAGTTGTCCGAATTGGGATCCCTGTGCGGCCTAATGCCCGGCATGACTCTGACATCTGAACATTTGCATCAAGTGGTCGGTTTAATCGCTGGAATGGGCGCCGACCCCCGCACTGGTAATTGAGTAGTTTTGAACTTAATTTGAAAAATGTTTTGTTTATTTTGTCTGTATTTCAATATCAGGCGAAACCCCTCTGAGTCCACAGGAACGGCTGAAAGAGGCGCTGTCAGGTCAGGAGGCGTTCCTCAAAC